TATGAACCACAGCTTTTATGCCGCTGGACGTCCGCGCATGAGACGAGCTGTTCAGTGTGCAGGAATAGTATAACCAACTTCCATAGTATTTCATACACACAACGAAGGATGCCCAAATCATGCTTGATGTCCGACGACAGTGTATCAAGAGTGTATCAGTGAATCTTGTCTCTGAGATCATTACGTTTTAAAATTCATTCATCTAATATAATAATAACTTTATTATAATTATATATTTTTCAGGGACAGATGGAAGAGATAGTAGCCTCATAAACATTTTGACACTAAAACAGAGCAATCTTCTTTAACTGATGCCTACGAGTTTCCTTACTTAAATTATTAAGTTTACATTCATATTTAAGTCGAATGCTAAAATAATTTTCTATAATGAAATAAAATATTAATCATTAAATGTTTGTTATTTTTAAAAATTATATTAAATGAAAAATATACCAGCCATTTTGTACTAGTTTCTATTTTTATTAATCGGCAAAACGTTTTATAAAATATATGAAATATAAATAGATATATAATAATTAAGTACCTTCCTATTTGTTTTGATTCACGTTAGATTAAAATAGAAATTGCAAGTAAACTGTACATAGCAGTAAATTTTTCTTCTGAGGTAACAACCTGAAAATAATACTTACAATATGATTCTAGGGGAAAATTGATTAAGTTTATCGGCAGACTCACCTCTTCAGATATTATTGGGATTATGTATATTTTGAATTAAAATTCAAAAAAGGCAGGTAGGTATGTGCAACTTATTCCCGGAAACACGTTATTTGAATATTTTCTAATTATTTAGAAGTATTACCGTAATAATTCAGTAGATTTTTGTACTTATATGGTTTCTTACACTAAACTTTTTTTAAATCCTTTCACCGCTTTCTTAATATATAAAATAATAAAAAAAATGCTTAGTATGTGTAATCTAAACTTGCAAAGACTATCGAAAAATGTAATCATTTTTCAATAGTCTTTGCAAGTAAAATCTACATCACTAGCTAACGCACACAAGGACAAATCGAAATTCGTCAGGCGTTTGGGCTGTTATGACGTCTATACGGCAGTATGTTCTAAGTCTATGAGAAAGACAGATCGAGATAATAAATATTTTTTAATCTGTAATTCGTTGACAAATGACATTGCTCTGCGCTCATACATTTTTGGCCCTGGAACCAATAGCATTGGAAAATTATGTGTTTTATTATCGATCAATAGTAAATTCCTATATGATCTTATTTTTATAACGGACTTACTGCAGATAGATATATTTAAAAAAAGTTTTGACTTTACATTCGAACTACGAACGAAAACTGCAAAACAACATGCTCAAGCATTTAGCAATTTTTTGTACCATCTTCAAACAACATTGAAGCACAAGCAGAGCCGCAATCCTTACGTTTAATGTTTTGTAAATTTGCGTCTTTTAAAAAAAATGTTTTTTATTTTTTATTTTATAGTATATAGACAAACGAGTACACAGTCTACCTGATGGTAAGTGGTTGCTGTGGCCCGTAGACGTCTACATCTATCCTCGATTACGAATCAAAATACAGATGCGGTATCAACCGTGAGAACTAAGATCGAATATATAAAATAAAAATGTGATGTAGTCGCTATGAAAGCAGCCACGAGTATAAAGTAATAATTCCCGCCACGATATCAAACTATGCACTCAATGAAGACAAGAAAAAAGGCTCCATGAAAAAAGAAACATCCCGTCCAAGTTGCGAATTTGCGAGATTACTACAAAATACCAATTTGGCGCCACGACGAAGTTTCGAGCAATTTCCACTTGAAGGAGCGTTGATCAAAGAAATGAAACTAAAACACAGACCTACTCCAGCCAACGAAAATGAAAGCAAATTTAACCACTTAATAATTCGTCTTTTAAAGGCAAGGAAACTTGAAAGGAAGGAAAATTGCAAAAGTTAGTGTTCCCTTATGAGGGAGCGAGTTATTGCTACTAGAAATTTTAAACTCGCAAACGGCTCTCACAATGTTGCAATAACTTTGGCCTAAACGCCAGTTGTGTCAAAACTTCGGGCACTTTGGCTTATATTTATTTAAGAAAAAACAATAATGCCCAGGGCATTGTTGTTTTTATGCGTAATGACATGAGTAATACATTTTCTGCGTTTTTATTTAAATTATGTTTTAAGGTCTGGTAGACTATATGTCTTTGTGATTAATTTTATTTAACAATATAAGCTGGATCACCATAAGAACATAACCGCAACGGTTACGTATGCAAGTCCCAAATTTTCATAAAATTTAATTTCGAGCACATTTTAGTTTGTGCACCTAGATCTAACCACTTTGATCAATGCTTGCGATCATCGTATAGAAATCACTTATCATCGTCGGTAACGATTTGATTTACAATTCCCTCTTTTTTAAACCAATTCAGCAATATGGTGCAAATTTGGTTGCAGCCCCTTACTGTACATCACCCCATTTGTAATTTTTTATTTTTTTCTTTTGCCGCAAATTGATCCATTGTTGTTTTGACAACAACATCAAAAGCCGAAGCTAGCTGAGCCGTATTTGAGACGAATCCACTTTTACTATCACCTGTAGTTCCTCATTATCACGGTTTTCTCTAGGCAGCCACGGTATTCTTCTGTGAATTCGAAATTCTCCGAATTAATGCGATCGAATCAATGAAACACGGTACATCCGTTAGTAGTAATATATTGGTACACTTCACTGACATTGCGTGTCGTTTAAGACACATTGTTTTCGCTTTGAAACATATACAAAAATGACATGAGTTTTCATTAGTCAAAGTTATGAATATAGCGATAACGTAGAAGAAAAAACAAACGCAGGAGAACAAAGTGAATAAATCATTTTGAAAAAAGAATAACATTCCTTAAATATAAAATTTATTTAAAAAGATCTAAAACAAACCACAGCTTTTAAAATTCAAACAAAACTGGACGCGAGTTCAAAAAAAATGACAATATCATAGATAAAGACTGTTACAAATTTTTCATTCGGTTACAAATTATTCATTCCGTTAAATAGAAGTCTTATAAGGAAAGGTCGTTAAGTCGCCGAAAAATTGTTGAACGTGTGTATTGATTTATTAATGATATACTCATGCACTTTCTGTATTAAAACTGATAGTATGCGGTAAGAAATGAAAAATATTTTATTTCATTAACAAGACCAATAGCGTCAACAGAAAAAAGTAGTTTTGGTTCCGTGAACCTCTCAGAAATCAAAGGCTTGACAAAAACTGTATAACTTTGTGGTCTCAATAATTGTAAAGTCTTTTTATATAATATAGGTTACAAACGAGCACACAGTCTACCTGACGGTAAGTGCAAGCTGTGGCCCCTAGACATTTATATTTATCGTCAATTAATATCTATCTTACGCTGGTATTCTGTGAGTGCGTGGTCCATCACCGATCGAGCCGACCCATTCGTGCTACAACCAAAATATAGCTACAGCGTAGCTCTACCACCTATGGCTGAACTATAATAATAATAATAATAATCTTTATTTGCGTAAAACGTGGTATAGATGTTGTTCACAGGTAAAAATCGAGCGCTCATGTTTTGCTTATTTTACATAGCATGCAAATATTTTGAACAATGTCAAATCTTCTTTAACTATTTGAAATACCTTAGTCACCTGATTTAGTTAACAAAGAGAAATAATATTATAATAAATAATTACATGTCAATTTCAATACCTAATGATAGTCGCATAGTTAAATCAAAGATATATTGTAACAATACTATAGTTTGTTATTTTATATTTATTACAATAATTAGATGATTTTTTTTAATAAATATTATCCAGTACTTAATCTAATTTATTTCCAAGAATTGTTTTACACCATAGAAATTATTTTCATTCAGCCATTTGTACAATTTCTTTTTGAACAATGTAATATTTAAGGTTTTAAGTTCGTCAGGGAGTTTATTATATATTCGGACACACATGGTAATGGTAAGGCAACTTTTGCTATATTTTTGTGATTTAGGTATATCCTTAAATACTAGCTTGTGTGGGTCCCTACGTGGGCGAGTAGTCTGTACCTCACAAGCTTTTTCAAATAATTGTTTGTGTCTCTGCACAAATACACAAACTTCTAAAATATATATCATTGGTAGTGGCAGTATTCCAAGACCTTTAAATAGACCTTTAAATATAACGCAAGATATCCATATTTAGAACCTTGACTAATACTACCCATGCTCAGCATTAGACTACTTAGAAAACGAAAATAAGATAGAACATCCGGGTTTGCATAGATCTTTGAATAAAACGTGCTGCTGTGTAATGAAAGACGACGATGGAGACGTATGGCACAAATGTATACGTGGTAGATCCACGCTGCAGCTATGTTATGGTTGTAGCACGAATGGGTCAGCTTGACCGGGGTGAACCAAGCTCTCACAGAATACCGGGGTAAAAAAGCGGCTTAATGCTGCTGTATTTCATATGGTGAGTGTGGAGAACTGGAGACCTTTTTTATTGAAAATTGATAACAAATTTAGATGGGCCACAGCACCCATTTTACATCACGTGGAATGGGTGCTCGTTTGTCACCCTTATTTTATAAATAAACGGCTTACAGAAACTAGATGCGTGAAACCGAAGTAAGTCTAATAGTTGTATCTGTACGGTAAATTATACGGCTATTGCTGAACCAAAAATTTCCTTTGGTAGGATTGGTCCTTAGGACCCAAGGATGGATTTCAGAAGTGGAGCCACTGCTATTTTTGATGTCAGTTTTTTGAGTTTTTCACAGCTTCTGCTTTGGAATAAAATAGGGCTCAATCTGTAGGGAGGCATTAGTCACGCTACTATTCGAAGTTTGGTACCATATTCGTGTGATTTATGTTTTTATGTGACTCATATTTGTACGATTAAGATGTTAAACTACGTAAAATAAAAAGTAAGTAAACATTACAGTATTTATTTAAAAAAAATCTAAGACTAAAAAATCAAAAAGTTTGGTATGATGATTCCTATCCCTCGTCCTCTAATACCTCTGAATCCAGTTCCGTATCGTTTTCGACGAGTGCTTCGCGGTCTATTACACTGTAATAAAATATAAAACAATGATTACCCAAAAAAAGTAGAAACAAACAAGCAAGTAAAATAAAAGCGAAAGTTATTCAAACATAAATATACCTAGAATTATCGCAGTTGCCATTACAGGTCTTGCATGGGAGTGTGCATGGCATTTCTTCTCGTCTACAAGAACAACGACCTCTATAGCTGTTCTTACATCCACATTTTACCAGCTCTCGCGCTACATCCCAGATACTGTGCTGGGTTGTCCATATTGGCTGCCATTGTCCTTCCTTTTCAGTGCATTCCCAGTTTGATGGGGAGGGAATATCGGCTGAGGAGTCAAAAGCTTGACCCCATATATAACCTGCTTTGTAGGCTGCCCTAAGTGCATGCATTTTAAGAGCATCTCTTGTAGGGGGGATATTCTGTAAAGCCTTATTCTTTGTGAACAAAAACTTGCGAGCTTCATTCACCGAAACTATTCCACTGTCTCCACAGTAAAGCTTGATGACGAACTTTTCCAAGCTAATCAGTATATTATCTATCTGTTCATTTAACGCTAATCCGTTAAATGAACTGATAGATAATAAGGGCTTTAAAAGCTGATGTGGCATCAATACACTGCTGTTATGACTTCCAGGTCAGTGTTTTCCCTTCTGAGTAGAACGCAGAAACGGTGTCACAACCTGTGAATGCATGGTACCCTCTCATGGCTTCTGCTCTCTCTTCACCCCAATGATATGCCAAATCATGCGCAGCTATATAGTGAGGCGGTTGGGGTTTAAAATAAGGCAACAACCAGTCATAAAAAAATTATATATTGGTAAAAGAAAAGGTCGTGGGCGTGGTTCCGATAATTTAAAAAAAGTGCCCGTCTGGCTTCACTGGCAGGGTCAGGTACTCCCCTTTGTGGCCGCGAGGTGGTCGAGCAGGGCCGGGGGGTTGGACTGTTCACGGGGGAGCGCCGTGGGCAGCTGGCTGTGGCGGTGGCGGCGTCGAGGGGAGGCCTAGGCCCTCTTAAGAAGGACGACCGCCACGGTTGTAGTCGTAAAATTGCACCCTGGAAACAACGTCGTCCACATTTAGGTCCAGGTAATAAAATGCCGCCGATTATGAACCCCCGGTATATCGCAGGCTAGCAGTAGGTGGGAGCACAGAGAGTAGCTGGCGGGTGTTCATAATCAGAACGGAGTTACAAGGCGGAATGGAAGGCAAGCGTCATAGCGGTGAGGCGCAAATTAAAATACACATGAATTAAAATTACGGCAAGTGTAAAATACTGTTTAAATGTACCAGGATAACTAATTTAGGCTGTGCATTGGTTGAAACATGATGGTGACTTGCGATATTTGATCGCGGTGCGAAATGTATGAGACGCCATTTTGTAACGGTACTTTTGCCAACGCACACAGCGGCTACATACATTACTTACATGCAAATAACACTAATAACGTGGCAATTAAATAGCTAAAAGCAAACAGCCTGGCATGATCAATTTACACTACCTATAAAACACTTTCACTACTTAAAACTAGGTAACGTTTCAACACTTACCCTTACGGGGTGCAAGACGATACGGAGGTCTCGGTGACGAGAATTAACGGAAAAACTATACGGCCACAGTGCCGGAATTATTATATTATTTTAAACTTTTTCCAAAATGGGATTAAAATTTGCAAGGACACAAAGCAGAGCTTGTGAACGCGGCTGCAGTGGTAGTGTGCGCCTCCCAGGGCGCTCGGGCGGAGAATGACCGGGAGCGCGACGCCGTGGAATGATACCGGTCGGGTAAAACTCTGACGCGAGAGTTGCAAAGCGCATAGAGTAACGAAGCGTCAGAGTGTTTGTTCGAAATACAATATTTTAATATTTGATTTATTATTTAATTCGTTCTTTTAGTTTACTGATTTGTTTTATTAATAGGATACCTAAGTTAATTATAGAATTATTTTTGTTAATAACTTTTATTTTATTTTTATTTAGTTTATTAAATGTTTATTTAATTTTAATAAACCGTTTAATTATAATTATGCATACATGTACGTGCAACGTTACAGTACCCCGCGCGCTACATAAGGATTTTATTATTCTTAATTAATAAAATCCGCTCTAAATTGTTATGTATTCGCATTATCCTTTTATACAACATCTCTCATACTTCACGCGATTATATCAGCGTCAACGAACATCAATAGGGTAGTTGACGCATCCTGTCATTTGGCAAGGTGTTCCAGCATCGGTTAGACTGGAAGACCCATACGAATACCTAGAGCTAAAGATGTAAAAGTGTGACCAGGGTAAAACGAGCACCATGTATATATATAAATATAACGCTAGTGTATTCCTAAGTAACAAGCAGAACACATGCAACTTAATTAAGTGTACTTGTAGGTGTAACATGGAGATCTTGTGATATTGCAGTGATGGTTGCTAGCCCATCTCCCACAACACACTACTACCCTATCCCTTAGTCGACTTTTACGACACCCACAGGAAGAAATGGGGTGGTGCTATTCTAACCCGACACCACACGGGGAAGTACCACTTTAAAAAAAAAAGTGTATACATATATGACTAAGTATTGTGTCCTGTTAATTTCAAATCCTTGATGTGCCAGGTGCCAATATCTTTCCCAGACATGTCAGCCAGGATGTAAACTAGGGGTGACTTTTTACCGATGACGCGACATTTAATAAATTTTGGCGCAAGTTTTTTACTAAAGAACTTATCCTTATCACTTAAAACATATGCGCGTTTCATTACAGTGTCACCAATGTTAAATTCCATAGGCTTGCGCCGAAGGTTATAGTGGGTTGAGTTTTTAGCATGAGCATGCCACAATTTGGCCTTTACAGTATCGAAAACTTCCTTAAGACAACCCAAATCCTCCGCGTAGATGTCACGGGGAAGGAATAAAACCTCATCGCCTAAATCGTTATCTAAATAATGCGAGCCACATGTAACGAGCTCCCTGCCGAACACCAGGAAGGATGGAGTGAAACCAGTCGCCTCACTCACCGAATTGTTGAGGGCGAACTGAACCTTCGGAATATATGTATCCCAACTGCGATGATCGTTGTCCACGAAAGTTGAGATACACGTGATAATTGAACGATTATGTCGTTCTACCAAATTAATTTGAGGGGTGTACTTTGGCGTGAAGAACACGTTAGGGACCTTATAACGATGGAAAAGTGACTCAGTGATCTTCGAAATAAACTGGCCGCCATTGTCCAAAAATATGGTCTGAGGGACACCATGGACGAGGAAAACAGACTCTTCTTACAGTAACTTCGTGACTGTAGTGGCAGTTGCACTTCTTAATGGGAAAATTAGGCAATATTTCGAAAAGCAGCATGTGACTACGAAGATATAAGTGTTCTGCTTCCTAGTGACAGGCAAGGGGCCCATCAAATCAATTGAAATCATTTGAAATGGCCTAGAACACTGCTTCGGGCGGCCCATTGCTCCCAAGGTTTGGTGATTTTGAGCCTTGTAAGACAAGCACTTCTCGCAGGAGGCAACGAACTTCACCACGTCCTGGTGCATACCAGGCCAAAAGTAGCGCAAGGCAATACGATGGTATGTTTTAAAAACGCCGAGATGTCCAGCCGTGGGTTCCGCATGATTCTCGTTGATCACCTGCTCGCGTAGCTCAAAAGGTACAACCTCCTTCCATAAGAACTCGGATGAAAGTGAGTGATTATTCTTGGCACGCCTGAATAACTTGCCATCCTTGATAATGAAATTCGGGAAAGTTTGCGGCTTAGAAAGGCAAGAATTATAAATATTTTTGTACCAAGAATCCGATGTCACCATGTTCGAACCGTAAGTACTAATCGCCGAGACGGGAAGAGCTCTAGAGAGGGCATCGGGGATCACATTGTCCACACCCTTACGATGCTTGAATTCTAAATGAAATGAGGACAATCTTACACCCCAGCGAGCTAATCTACCGGTAGGGTTCCTGAGAGACAGAAACCATTTTAACGCACTGTGATCAGTATAGACAGTGAATGGCCTACCGTTCTCCAAGTAACACCTCCAGTGCTCCAGGGCGATGACGACAGCTAATGTCTCACGCTCCGTTATACTGTAGTTCCTCTCTGCTGCTGACAACGACTTGCTCATATAAGCAACGGGGTGCTCCTTACCATCTATAGTCTGCGTCAGCATCGCACCCACGCCGTAATTGCTGGCATCGGTGTGTACTTCGAATGGCTTATCGTAGTCAGGGCAGGAAAGAACAGGAGCGGAAACTAAACACTCCTTAAGTTTCTTGAAGGCAGCATCAGCTTCGGCAGACCAGACAAAAGGTGGTCCACCCTTCTTACTCGAAGTTAACTTGTTTAAGGGGCCTGCAATGGTACTAAAATTGGGGACGAAACGACGATACCAAGTAGCAGTCCCGAGGAAGCGCTTAACGTCCTTACGACATGTAGGTGTCGGGTAATTGAGGATTGCTTCCACCTTCTCAGGATCGGTACGTAAACCACTACTATCAACGACGTAACCCAGGTATTTGAGCTGACTGCCGAAGAATTGACATTTCTCTAGGTTTACAGTGAGGTTGGCCTGTTTCAGCTTATTAAGAACCCGAAGTAACAGGGAAACATGGGAATTGAAGTCGTTTGAGACGATAATAATGTCGTCTAGGTATGCAAAGACTTTGAGGTCAAATTCCCTAAATAACAGATCAACCAACCTTTGCTGTGTAGCCGGGGCGTTAGTTAAACCAAAAGCAGTGCGCTTAAAACGATAGGTACCGCGATTAGGCACATAAAAAGCAGTCTTGTCCCGGTCCTCCTGTGCTATAGGTATCTGCCAAAAGGCTTTGGATAAATCGATACTAGATAAGTAGCGAGCATCGCGAAGATTATCCAAGATCTCGGAAATGTAGGGTAGACTATAGGCGTCGCGCTTCGTGATGGAATTGAGCTTGCGGCTGTCGAGGCAAAACCGAGGCTGACCGTTTTTCTTCGTAACAATGAGAACTGGTGATGACCAAGCACTTTCGCACTGCTCAATTACGTCCAGAGCCAGCATCTCGTCGACCTGCTCGGCAAGGATCCGCTGCTTCTCTGGAGACAACCTATAGTACCTTTGACGAACTGGCTCAGCATCTCCCGTATCAATACGGTGAGTGACCAAACTCGTCTCGCCCAAACCCCGACGTTCGGCGGAAATGTCGCTAAATTGAGAAATGATGTCATCCGCCACTGATCTCTCCGAAACAGTTAAGTGGTCATACGCTTGTATGAAAGTGGTAGAATCGGTACTAAGGCTAGCATTCAATACTGCGGCATTAGAAAATGTAATGCTTGAGAAATGTCTAGGAAAAATGTTAAACTCGCGCCAAAAATCGATCCCCAACACGAGATCAATATTGATGTCTGGCACAACAAATGACTTAATTATATGGTACTCATTCTCAAAGTTTATAGGGAGAAACATATAGCCAATGCTGGTCATAGATTGACCCCCAGCAGCCGTGACTGTAATTATGTTGTCCCTATGCAGCTGTAAACCCCGTTCCTCTAGCTTCCTATAAGCTTTATCACCTAAAATGGACACAGCTGAGCCTGAATCTAAGAGGCCAAATAGCTTAAAATCATTGATTTGTACACAAGCGTAAGGTCTAGGATCATGCAATGGTTTGTCCAGCAGAATTGTATCAATTTTATAAGAATTGAAGAAAACATTAACAGTGTTAAGCCAGCTCTGCCAATCCTCTTGGTCAAACTTGGGTGGCAGGACTTCAGTACAATTCTGCTGGTCTATCAGTTTTTTGAAGTGCTCGGTTTATCCTTGCCACACTTCGGACAGTCTGGTGACTTGACGCCTTCCCTGGCCACAAACAAAACAAAATATTCTATCCCTATTTGCTTTGCATTGACGAAGGTTGTGGGTGTTATTACGACACCTTGGACAATAAGGAGACTTTTGGTACTGCTGTTGCACCGCATGCACATAATTATTATTTTTAGTATAAGTTTTATTACCTGTATTGTAATTATTGTTGCTTCTATTGTAAAAGTTATTGTAAGGTCTTTTATTGAAACTTTGGCCGCTGCCTTGATTAAACCTACTTGCAGACTGACCAGCGTAAGCAAACTCTGGCGCCAGTGTTCCTGAAGAGACCTTCGGAGGTTCGTGGAATCCCACTAGGCGAGCCTGAATGTTCTCGTAATTACGACAGAGCGAACGCAAGGTGTCGAGGTCTGAGATCTTCGGGACAGAAGCTAAGGTGCTGGCGTAGCATGGGCGGATGTTATGTAAAATGATCTCAAGTTTGTCTTCGTTAGACAGGCTCTTGGACAAACGTGAGAATAGCCCAGTCATAATAGAAATGTAAATAGTTATATTTTCAGACTCGCCCTGAGTTCTGGCCCGAATCTCCGACAAGAGTCTGTAATCATAATCGGCCTGGTCGAAATCTTCTCTAAGAAGGGAAACTAACTCGTCCCAATTAGATACCTGGTCCCGAATGGCACGATACCAATGCAAGGCATCGCCGGTAAAAATCTCAGCGCAGTAAGACAGCAGTTTTTCCCCCGGTATATTCCTCGACTGGCTGTATTCATTGATGCGCTGGATAAATGCACGAACGCAAGATTTGCCGTCGAACTTAAACTTAGTGAACTCACTAGCCACGCCGCGCTCACAAGTTACGTTAACGTTGAGAGGTAAAGCAGCAGTAGACTGAGCGTCTCTAGATGCCAGAGAAGGGGTGGAATCAGTAGCAGTAATAGCATTATAGCGTTCCAAAAGTTGCCTGTATTCCGAAACACACGTATCCACCACCCCTTGCTGGGTCGTGCTATCACAAACTATACGGTTGAGTCGATGATGGAGGTGGTTAATGAGGTTGCGAGCACGAAGCAACGCATTCCCATCGCTAGGCGCCTCGATATATGCTCTTAGCTTAATTAAAGCATCGCTGACTCCCTTTAAATCATCGCCGACAGACAAAACGCTCTCGAGAATGTCCTCCGAAGGAAAGAGTGGACCTAATTGAGCAATCTGCTCGGGTAACTCTCTGACTGTGTCAGCCGGGGTGGCACCTCTAATGGCAACTTCGTATTCTAACTCCGACTTTTGCAACGATAGGAATTTAACCGAGTGCGCCATTATAACACGCGTATAACCGCAAAGAGGTAAGTGTTGAGTCGTTACTGACTTAATCTACTCCGTTCCGTTACAATTATAATATCAGGTACTAAGAACGTTCTGGTTGACTAAAACTATTGGCGTATAAAAGAAGCAGTAAAAAGAATAAAGCAACTGCCACCAAAATAAAAGAAGCAGCGCAACAAAAAATTAAAATACGCAACTAATGTGTACTCGAACAATTAAATAAAACAACAACAAGATAATAATAATATGCCTAAGAATTAAAATAAAAAACAATTGATTGAATAATTTAAAATACTACCAACGCATGCGTGACT